CTAAGGCACTTGACTGCTAACCAGAAGGCTGGTGGTTCAAACCCACCAGCCACTCCTCGGAAGGAAGGTTGGGCATTCCTTCTTCCGTAGTGATACTGCCTCGGAAACCGAAGGAGGAGTCGCTATGAGTCAGGGCCGACTCGATGGCAAACAACAACAACAACATACTATTACCTAATCCTTACTGCTATTACAACTACCATTATTAAATAATATTAAGTGGGCCACTACGTACACTACTAGGCTTTTTCAAAACCATGACTCACTCGAGAAGGTCAAAAAAAAAGAAGACTCTCCCACATAACACGTTCCTTCAAAATAATGACCAAAATGACTTGAGGAAAAACTGTGAATTAATTTATAATCTATACGTAGCATACATTATAGTTTATACACAGATTTTTAATTTGTTTACATATAATTCATTAGATGGATTGACAGTATCCAATGAAATTACTTAAAGATAATCAGAAATACTTTTAAGTGAATTCTGTAAGTGAATTAATTACTATATAAATCTAAACTCCACACTAGAGAGAACCTTGAAAGATTTGACCTTAAGACTTAACCTAACACTATATTCACCCACCTAACATATTCACCCACAATGTTTCTAAATAAAAACGTAGTTTACTATGCTGCTATTTAATTACTCACATGCCTGCCCTGTCATACATAATTCTAACAGCAAGTACATAGAACAATCTTCCCTGAACTTGTATCCAAAGGGATAAAAAAGCACTTATGTTGACTTCCCATCAAATAGTCCTGCACAAACCAAACTCACTGTCGTGGAGTCGATTCGACTCATAGCAACCTCTCTTTAGGTTTCCAAGGTAGTATCTCTATGGAAGTAGATTGCCCAATCTTCCTTCCCAGTAGTGGCTAACCAACAGGCTTCTGGTTAGCAGTCAAATGTCTTAGGTACTACCCTACCAGAACTCCCTGAACAGTACATAAAAATATATTACATACACTTCTCCTCAAATGTGCCTAAGCCAGTTTAATTCTTTAACTAAATCAAGCTATTTCAAACATATAAATCAGACTTAATTCTCAAACTAAGTGGAATAAAATTTTATTTTGTAGTCTTTAGAGAATAAAAATGTTTCAAAATAACTTCACTTCTTGACGAATACATACAGGTATTTATGGTACCCTTCTTCCAATTTTTCTGTATGTAAAATTGAATAAAAATTCACTGAAATGGAAACCTGGACACCCCTCCCAAAGAAAGGACCTCCACTTCTAACTTACATGGCACCTTTCTTCCACTGAAGTATAAAACCTCCTGTGTTAGCTTACTTATCCTCAATCAGTCCACATTATTTACCGAGTCTCTAATCAAGAGTGTTGGTCACACAGTAGCTCAGCTGCTAACAGAAAGGTCAGCCATTGGAACCCACTCATCCGCTCCATCAGAGAAAAATGTGGCAGTCTGCTTCTGTAAACATTTACACGCTTGGAAACCCCCGGGCAGTTCTACTCCATCTTATAAGGTCCCTATGAGTTGGAATCAACTCGAGGGGCAAGCGTTTTTGGGTAATCAGTGTAAAGCACTGCATTCGGTACTACGGAAAGTGACAAAGGAAATATAGGACTTACTACCTCAGATAGCATAGTGCCTAAGGCACTTGACTGCTAACCAGGAGGCTGGCGGTTCAAACCCACCAGCCACTCCTCGGAAGGAAGGTTGGGCAATCCTACT